CGCATGGCAAAGTTGTGCAGCAGCCTCAACACGGTTGGTTGGTTGGTTGGTTGCGTCTGCATCACTACGCCTTTAGTGGTGAGGCGAAGAGTGTTTTGTGTGAAGTGGAATTGGTGTGTGGGTGGTGTGTGGCGTCATTATGACGCCTCTTTTACGTGTAAGTCACAGAGAGGAATGCTGCTGTTGTGGTAGTGGTGACTGAGGCAGAAGAATCATTGCAAAACAGCCCTTTTTCCTAGGAGCTAACTAAATAATGCAACATGTAACTCGGAATAAGAAAGCGAATTCTGTTGTGCTCATTATTAAATGCAGTAAATATTAAAACCTTTGACACCCTTCTCAGTCGCGACTGCGCTTCCTTTCTAAAGTCTTATCTAGTCAGCACAATTACATTACTTGGAAATATTTGCCGCTGATCAGAATTTTTAACAACGGGCATTTTTCTTCAGTTCAGTTATTAGGATAAAAATTCTTGATTATCCTACTGGTTGCTTTGAGCCAGTGCAAATAAACAGCCAAGTCTTTCACCGGCTTTGCCCAAACGGGAAAGCTCGGGACGCTCCAATGTAGTCACCTATAAGGGAGATCGACTTTCCCACACCTCGGTCCTAAGTTCTACCGCATGCAGCTAACTTCACAGTGCAACTGCTATGACAATTGTAGCGTCTCGAGGAGGCATAAATTTGTGCTGAATGCATGGATTCTATGGAAGAAGAGATTGGATCAGTCCACATGAATAAGAGCAAGACCAAACCGAAGTGTTTTCTAGACATCAGGTGATTACGTACGCAAGGTATTATACTACACTTCTTCTGAGTGACGGCCACCGCGCTCCCCTTAGTATTTCTTCCGCGCCAGCCATCGCAACATATTCGGTGCTACGAGGAAGCGCTCACGAGCCATCCGCACCCGGCATCAGCTATCATGAGACTGATAAATGGTACTGAGTCTCTTCGGCAGATTTAACTGTACCCGGAGTTGAGTTTCGTTTGAGGACAAGAATTGTGAGGAGGATTTTCTGTTGACAGTCAATCACGTCCAGCACTAGATGTTAGTACGTTGGTCTCAAAACAGCTATACGTAAGGATTCATGGAGTATTGTCACCTCCGACACCTAAATGGGGGTGTAGGGAGGAGGATTCAGATATGAAACCCTATTAAATGGATTCTGACAACGTCCCTCCATTGGTATTAGCTTATCCGTGGGACAGGGTGCCAAGGTGGAGCCAAACAGACGTTATTCTCAATTCTATTGTTGTGAATCATTAAGAAAGTCTCCTGTCAGATATATATGCGCTTCCTCGACACCAATGAATACTCCAACAGAAGTCGTACAAAAATGTCTGGCTTGCTTTCCGCTACCACCAGTGTACCGCCCCAGATATTAAGATGAGCTGAATGCATACGTTTTAAAAGGAAAAGAAGGGATTGGGCTTTCGCTTGGTCTGAAGGCCAGCCAATGACAAATACTAAGATAATCGCATGATATACGGGTGATCATGTGACAAAGGATTACAAGTGGGCTTTGGAAAGAGTTCCAGCTTATTCAAAACGGAAGCGCAGAGAACAACGTCTGTGTTAGACAATCCGTTATCAGATGAAGCAACGTTTGACAGGAACCGATTGGGAATTGTCAAAATCAAGGGCATTAGCTCCACTGTAATACACACTAGTTTGCTTAAATGGACTTTTATGGGTGAGAGGCGCGAAGACGGTGCGGATTCACTCTCCAATTGATAATTCTTGTTCGGCTCATCTGCATCACATTCCCCATTCTTCCTATAACAAACCTTGAATAAATCATCTGCAATCAACTCCGTCTTGAAGTCTGAGTTTCAAGAGCCAGAGGGTAGGCAGGCGGCTCTTACATCCACAGCTATACTTTCCAATCAAATGCAAGTATGCGGTCAAGGCCTGCGGCTACCACTGCCATACTAAAAGTCTCTATAAGCTATCTCTTTCAATGCACATACAAAGGCTTAAAGGCAACAAAGTGGTAGAAATAAACGATTCTGAGGATTAACCGAAGCGCTCAATCCATTTAGAAAAGACAAAACGTTACGTATTTTTTTAGAAATTATTAATACATTGAAATTAAAATAAAAAATTGCGCACTGCATCGACGCAGTGGAAGTATGGTGAAAAGCCAAAATTTGTTTACATAAACTATGTACTACTGTAAATCAATGACCCTGGCAAGCCCTTAAATGTGACCTATCTAGCGGTTTCATTTAGCGCCGCTTATATGGGTAAGTCGGGTTTGCCGTCCTGTTAACAGTGAACTTCATCCATTATACATAAAGGTTGCAGTGCCTGCCCTGAGGTAGGCTACTAACACTCCAACTGGCCCATGAGATATAGTTGTCGATGGCAATTAATGAATACATTGAGTAGGCACTTGTATTATTTATCCATACCTAAGTGCATACCCATCCAAGTTGTGTCGATACTGTGAAAATGGCTGAAAATGTGATGTCAGGTGCACCGGGCTGCTGGGCAGAGCAGGCTTCGTTAGGTGTATGCAGGAATAATGTAGCTGTTTATAACTGACTAAGTAATATGCACTATATGATAAAAACATTGCAACGTTGCGGACTACAGCTCCCAAGCGAAAAGCAAAGTCGACCACACCAAAGGCAGCTGCATCAAAGAAGCGGAAGGCGTCTGTCAGTGGTGAGAATGTTACTCGGTACACCAACTGATAGGTAAGGACGACGAATCCGCGGACTCTATACCAGCCTCGACCACCACAAGCAATAAACCGTCAAGTAACTGTCCTACGCATCTTGAACACGTGTTTAGTAACGAAGATAGTGATAAAGGGGAAGGTGCCTGTCGACCCACAGTGTACGACGAAGATC